TTTCTCTGAGGCAGCCACCTGTTCCTGTTGCGTTACCTCATTGCTACTTGAATCAACTACTGTATCCCCAGCTGTAAAATAGTTTTAATTAAAATTATTTATTGCTCAATACCTAATTGTCCCCTATTTTGGGTATGTTTCTAGAAGATAATATTTTTTTCCTTATCACTGCATCACTGGGCTTACACTTTAAGGGACTGTAGCCACTGATGTCACTGGGATCAGAATAGAGTATGTGGATTTTAACTGAGCAATGACGTAGGAACAGTGTATTTTTAAGCTGGGCTTAGCTTTGTTTTGCATACTTATTTATACCTCTGACAACTGAGTGAAGAGTGTCCTGGCTCCAAGCCATATCTCTCAGTGATTTTTTTTCAGTTCTTTGGGAAATGGCTTCTCCAATGTATTGTGCATGTTCTCTTAACATCTTAATTCAGTTTCTAGGTCACTGAGCTAAGAAAAGACTATAGGTGCCACTAAAGTTAAAGGAGAACTATGTCTCCTTAAAGGAGAACCAGCCACAGGCTGGGCCAGGTTGATGGTGCTTAGAAAAATCAATTATTGTCATGTACTGTCTTCATGCTGTGCCAGGTCATTTAAAGATGAAGAAATTATGTTAGGTTTCACTCCATCTGGAGGAGTTTGCATGCTCATGCTTTTAGGCCACCTATGATGTATAGAGGATGTTGCTTATTGATCTATTAGTTCTTGCAGATCTGTGTTGGGAAGCCAGAGGGGCTCTCCACCAAGTCTTAGCTGGCAGACAGTAGCTGTTAGGCGGGGGGGTAGGTCATAGCACTTCAGGTTCTTTTAAAGGCTGAAGGGTGAAAGCAGAAGCACAAGGAAGTGAAGATGTCTGTGCAGGTGGAGGTCAGTCTTGACTTTGCCAGCTCAGAGAAACTGCTTCACTCTCACTGTGGGGGTGTTTATCTCGAACAAGCTGCCATGGAGGGCGTGTGGCCCCAGGGCTCCAGCCCAAGGAGCTCTTCTCCTCAGTGCCACTGCTGGCGTGGCTGTACCCGGGAGGTGAGCAGGCAGGTTGTGTTGCTGTATCCGTACAGGGCAGGGAATCTCAGCCCCTCCTAACTGGGGCTGGGATTCCCCTGTGAGGATACAGCATCCCTGAAAAACCCTGGAAGTTTACTTAAGGAAACTAATCCACAAGGACTAAGATAAGTTTGAAGGGCTCTGTTCCTTAACGTGCTGCAAGTCCCTCAAAGGGATGGTGCAGGATCAGAGCTGGGAGGGGCTCTGGGAGCCCCAAACCCCCACTCTCCTCTGTCCTGTATGAAGCAGAAGTCCATGGGCTGGGTGGAATTGAGCTCTGGCCAAGCAAAACATGCAGAAAATACTCTGAAATTCCTCTTCCTGCCCTCTCATCCTTCTGTTCTCTGTTCTCCTCTGCAGCCTGCCTGTGAAAAAGGAGTGCTGCTGCCAACAGGAGAGGATTGGGTAGTTCTTTGGGATAGGGGAGTGAGCCTGGCCTTTTCCACCTGCAAAAATTAATACTTATCCTGCCAAGAGATTAAGTTGAACACTTGGCACCTGCCAGATTCAGTGGAGCAGCAGCTGGTGGTGGATGTGCCACCTGCTCATCTTCAGAGGAGAGGCTCTGAGGAAGGGGGGCAGAAGCGAGGGGTGCCACCTCTCCTGGATGCTGCAGGATCCCCCCCTGGGGCAGTGTGGTACTCCACTGTCCTCTGGGTGACAAAGCCACCTTATAAGAGTGACAGGCTACACACAGCTCCTCCTTGACATCCAGAAATGATTCTCGCTGAGGTGCAAAAGCAGCTTTTTTTTCCCTCCCCGACCCTCAGGAGCTGAGTCTGAGCCTCAGGTGCCATTGTCACCCAGTGCTCTGCCTGTACCCGCTTCCCCAAGGCAGGTGGCAGCAGCCCACAAGAGCTGTGTGGGCAGGAGGCGGCTGCTCTGTGGGCACCGGCAGGGACACAGGCAGTGTAGCTGGGGACAGGCTGTTTTGGCTGTCTGACAGCCATGGAGAGGTCGGGGGGAGGTGGGTTGCAGGACAGCAGGCAGCTGTCTGCATCACGGGGAGCCTTGGCAGCTGCCTACACTCACCAGTCGTGCCAGAGGCCAGATGGAGTAAGTGGGCACCAAGGAGCGGGCCCACCACTCCCCTCTGCAGCTCTGCACGGTGACAGGGCATGGGTGGCCCCACACCGTGACTCTCTGGTGGGCGAGGGAGTGCTGTGCTCAGGCTGTGAAGGTCCTTTCTGTTTTGTTGGAAAAGACACACACAGAAATAAATGCAGCGACCAGGATAAATTCTGCAAACAGAAATACTTGTGAAGTGCCCACTGGGCCTGTCAGAAGCTTCATTTAAATATGGGCTCTCTGTGGTCACCTGGGTAGCTCCAGTAGAGTTGTTGGTTTACACCATACTTTAAAGCTAAGCATGTTGGAGATGCTTTTCTGAGCCAAGATCTGTCACTTGCCTCTCCTGGCATCCCCTGCGGGCCCTGGCAGTGTACCAAATAGCTTTGTTTTCTAGCTGCTGGTGGCTGTCCTCTCTGGCACTGGCTGGCTGGCCCAGGGTGTTCCTGGCGCAGGCCGCAGCAGTCCCCCTTTCCAGATGACGCACTTCAGTCCCTCCGCTCCAAAAGGCTGCGCAGGGCACCCACAGGCCTGTGTGAGTGCAGGCAAACCATCCGGCTGCTCGCTGGTTCCCATCAGTACTGTGGGAAGTCCCATGTTTCAGGGCTCAGCTGCGTGACTTGTTTGTGCCGCAGCTCCCGGGACGTTGCAGCATGGTTTGTGCTGCGTGAGGTTACGGTGCTGCATGGCCACAGCTGGCTAAGCGGGGACGAGCGGTGACGAGGCACGTCGGTGAAACACGGAGACAAAGTTGTGTTCAGGACATGGTTGCCTGCGCAGATTGCACACTGTAGTTGGAGCTTCGCTGTATAATTCACATTTGCAAATGCTCTGTCTGGGGAAGGAGAAGTCGCAGCTCCTTTCCTAGCTGCATCTCCTGGTTTCTCTGTAAATGCTTGGGTTTTGGAAGGTCTTCAGCCTGTGTTAGTGGTGTTCAACACGCCCTTCCTAGTTGTTTTTTCAGTCACTCTTCAGTCATGGTTGTTTAAACCCTGAGATGTAAAGTAAACTATCCCTTTGTTTGCCTGTCCCTCTGCTTTGTTGCATCCCCTCTCAGATCACTGAGGCGGGAGACGGCAGCGCCTTTGCCAGCATCTCCCGGAGATGAAGCGTGTGGCACCCGTGCGGTGCAGCGGGACGAAGCCTCCATCTCCTGGCAGCAGAGCCGCACGGCAGCCGGGTGCCGGTGTCTGCCTGCGGGAGTTGTCCCGGACAGGCGGCAGGAGTCTCGCCGAGGAGGCAGAGCGAAGCCTTGGCGTGCGTGGTGTTTCCCGCAGGGCTCAGCCCCTCCGGCCGCCGCGGAACACGGCGTTTCTCCGGCAGGCGGCTCAGGGCTTGTTCTGGTGGCTGAGGCAGGGAAGCGGTTTCTGTTTAGGTTCTCTCTCTGAGACCTAGAAATTTTTGTCCTGGTCCTGAAGAAGATTCTCACAAGGTAATTTTAACTACATCCTGCCTGATGAAGCCCCAGCATCATGCAACATTTGTTTTCCAAAGCTGACTGGAAGTGAGGTGCTACCATGCAGGCAGTTTCAGGAGGGGGGAAGCTTAAGGATTTTCCCACTCAGCCTCTAAGAGTGGGCTCAGCATGTTCATACTCTCCTAAGGGTACCTCAGAACTGAATCTTTCTGGAGTCCCCCAGAAGAAACTTAAAAGGCCATGTTCAAAGTATGTTTTAACAAGTAATAAAGAGGTCAGAGCAGTTCTTAGCATTGCTGCTACAGCTTGAGGCTCAGGGAGTTTTTCCATGTCAAGATTTACCCCTTCCGTCACTTTTCCATCTTTGGGCTCCTTGTGAGTGCCAAGTACCTGGTACCAAATGAGACTTGCATGCAGACGCTTATGTTTATTTTTGTAAATGCTTTTAAAAGAATGACAAGGGAATTGCAAATGGATCTAAGCGAAGATGGAAAAAGACCACAAATAGGAAAACACTTTAGCAAAGAGAGAGGGGAGCACTGAGCTCTGCCAGCACCTCAGCAGGGTCTGACAGGTCATTATTCATTGCTCAGCTTACACTGACAGCCCCTCGCCCATGGCAGTCAGAGGGACGCTGTCCCATGGCTGACAGTCTGGGCAGACTTTGACGTGCTGCAGAGGCTGCTACCCTGCTCTGCACCTACACTGGCACTGTGCTTATGAGACCAGGGTGGTTTAATTAAAGGTTCCAAAGCCGCCTCCAGGGTCACCTCTGCAAAACATCGACTGTACGTGCAGTGCCTGTGAGTCACTGGCATGGTGTGTGTTGGCCTGCCTGCGGCTCCTGAAGTGCTTTCAGAGAGCAATCACTTCCCAGTGTTGAGTGCTCTCAATTGCCTGTATTTTTGGAATTGTTCAAGTCTTTCCCTAACACCATTCTCCTTTACAAAGATACCACTGAGAACTTTCCATGAGAGGCCCCCACTGTTTGTCCCCCCAGGAAGCCGGAGATGCAGTTTGTGGTGGGACACCTGTGTCTGCCGGGCAGCAAGAACAAACCCTTCCTGCAGAAAGGGCATGATGGTGTCCCCGATTGCAGAGGCTCCACATGTCAGGGTCACGGTTACAGCCAGTGGACAGCCTGGGCTGTCCTTGTGGCCACCAGACCTGGCTGGAAGGAGGATGGTGCTCACATACAGGTTTTTCCCAGAACCCTGGGTTTAAACACAGCCTGAGGAACTAGCAGCTGCCTCGAAGGTCCTGTCTCTCTGATGGGGGTCACATCTGAGGAGGGGTGGGGGGAAGGGGAGGCAGTGAGAGGGGAAGCAGCATTCCCAGGGCCACACACCTGGGTAAATGTGCTGCCTTCCAGATCACACCAAGCTCCTTCACCCCTGGGAAAGGGGTAGGTTCTCCCAGGTGCCCCCTGACAGCCTCTGTGCCTCACTTTGATCTGTCTCCCCCCCAGGTATCTCTCAGCCACGAGTGCACCCGTGCCATCATGAAGCTGATGTACTGTCCGCACTGCCGGGGCATGTCCAACGTGAAGCCGTGCAACAACTACTGCCTGAACGTCGTGAAGGGCTGCCTGGCCAACCAAGCAGACCTGAACACCGAGTGGAAGTACCTGATGGGTAAGATGGCCTTCCTCTGCTGCAGCACAGCTGCCTCTCACGGCACCTTCTGAACTCTCTGAGGCAGTGTTTGGCGAGTAAAGACAAGACTGTTGGAGGCTCTTTTACACTATAGTTTCTCTGTCCATGATCTGATGCCTAGAAGCTGGTGCAGGACATTTTTCTGGGCTTTAATACTATTAGAAAGGACACTGCTGGCCTGGCTAAGAAGGGCTTATAGAGTTGTCATCTTGCCTGTGCTCATTTGGGATTGCCCCACACTTTGCATTCAAGTAATTCTTCCTTTCCCCCCAAGCACTGAAGCTTAGGGACAGATCCTGCCACATGTACGCTGTCAGAGCTGCCTCGTCATCCATACCAGAGCACTTGTGAGGGCAGAGGAGAAGCACTTGCTGGCCTCTTTGGGAGGTAGTCTAGAGACATGGAGCCATAAACTGTTTCCATGGATGGAGAGCAAAGGGATCAGAATCATGTACTTCTAAAAGAAAAGAGGTGTCTTAAACAAATACATGGGGAGGAGTAAGTCACAGACATCACCAGGAATGAAAAAATTACACTTGTATTTTAAATAAGAAAAGAGCTCATTTCAGGGTTGTTTTGTCACTCAGCTAAGGTAATGGATATTTTAAAGTGGTTTGTATAGAGGTGGCCATTTCATTGAGAAATATCACTGCATGGTGTGGTCTGATCTGCTGTGCAACACAGGCTGCAGAACTTCAGCCAGGTGTTCCTGCAGGAAATTCTGCATTGCCTGATCAGACCTGGGCATCTCTTTTAAGAAAACCTCGGGTGTCACTCAGCTGTTTTTTCCAGATCCCATGGCTCCTAGTTTAAATGTGAACTACTGCTGAGAGTGGCTTGTGGAGCTGATGGACATGGTTTAAGGCTGGTGAGGGTCTGTGTTTAGAAAATGTGGTGATTGTGTTACAGTGCACATTCTCTCCCCATCTGCAGTCCATCCGGGGAGGTTGTTTGCTCTTACTCCTTGTGCCCACAGAGCATCACCCAGCAAGCTCCTCTTTCTCTCCCAGGTTGTACATTTAGACCTGGAGTGATCTGAGACCTGAGAGAGCCTTAGTGCTTGTCTGGACTCATGGAAGGCAGGCACCAGAGGAGATGAGCTTCGGGCTTGGTCGTTTCCCATGTCTTGCTACGGGAACCAGCAAGACCACCAGCTCACGAGCCAGCTGCAGCCCGACAGGCTGGTTCAGGGGTGATGTCTGGTGGTGGTAACAATAAAAATCACACTGAAGGACAAGGAGTGTCATCTGCCTCTCAAGGGACATTGCAAAATAAATACCAAACGGCTGCACACAGAGTCCGGTGCACTTGCCCGGTGAGGTGCATTGGCCAGCTGCGTGCCTTGCTCTGGGGCTAATGAACCAAGTGGCAACTTACTGCAGCTAATTGGAAGTGTTCCCCATGAGAGTGACTTGGGAGCCTGCAGCAAAAGAGAGGGAGGAACATTCCCTTCCCTAGGGTTTACACCAGGACTCTGATGGCACTTTGGCCTTTCTGACCAGAGCAAGGCAACTGTTACCCGTCAGTGCTTTCCTGGCAGGATGACTGCCCGTTTCCTGAAGGGTCAACATACAGCTCTGCTTGATTGACAGGGAGGCAATTCCGGGTGCATTTTGCGCTTATTCTGGCTTCCTCTTCCTCAGGAGACTCTGTCAAGGGGTGATGGCTAGGAGGAAATTGGAGCTTCCTTCAAATTGCAGTTGTACGTTTTAGTGTCAGAGGTCACAATTTGATCAAGGAGTGGAGTGAGGCGTAGAGTCAAAGGTAGCAGTTCACTGGCATTTTCCATTCTTCACCCTTCTCCAGGCCCTTCTGTGTAGCTGGAGAGGATTTTGTTACACTAAACACAGCATTGCTCTTTCAATTTGACAAATTAGGGCAGGTCAAATTAAGGGAGTTTTTTATAGTAAGTGGTTCAAACATAATTTATCACTAATTTGGGGGTGCAGCCTTTGATTTAAATGTCTGTATCTCAACATTAGTGTCTCTGCAAACTAAAATTGTCTGGAAAATACACTCTCGAAGATGACACCGCAACCCCTGAGTGGCAGCAGAGTTAAACTGCAAGCTCTTTAACGTTGCAGGAGATGTTATTTCTCAGAATATAAAATAACATTACCCCCTTGTATGGCATGTTTAGCTTTAGGAATCATTGCTGCCATAGGACTGCGTTGCAGGTGATGAGAGCACATTAATTAGAAACTGTGGTCCTTGTTTCCATTCTTGCTCAAGCTAACCAGCAAAACCTTTTTAAGTGCTGAAAATAGATACATAATGTTTCCAATCTGTGACTTTTCGTGTTGTTAAATCCTGTATTATAGACCTGAGCAGAGTATTTTGTGATCCATGCTCCAGACTGGCCAAGGTTTGAGGCCTCCCAGTTGTGTGACTGATGCCCTTGCTCCCTGCAGGCTAGATCTGCTTTTGGACTGTGAGCCCTGTGGGCATGATCTGGCATCTTCTGTGGGTTTGTGGTGTTTCTTGTCCAGTCTTTAACCAGCTTGGTCATTCTCTGAGAGCTGTCAGGTTCTGAACATCAATCATATAAGAGCAGAGAGAACATACTTGCGAGGGTTGAGCATGCTCTTAAATTGGCAACAGTAGGCTCAGGATCAGACCTTCATTATTAACATACTACGTCCACTGTGGACATAGTGTTTCTGCACAGACCTCACTTAGACCTCGTGGAAGTAATTTGGGGTATTTGGGCCAAGTTCTGCTGTCTTGCCCAGGCAACGGACTGAACAGTTTCCTAGCAGCTTTGAAATGGCAGTGGTCCGTGGTTGTATCCCAGCTGGCTGGATTCCTGCTCAAAGGAAATTTGCTGTGTGGCTCAAAGATAAGCATCAGTCCTTTAAAGCTGTGTCACAGGTGACACACACACACACTATGGGATGGTGTAGGTTGAAGGACGTGTTTTACTGATACTCTGTTGGACTGCCAGGTATAATTCACCTGGTGGTTTTGTTGCTCATGAATAACGTTGGCAGTACAAACTCGTGCTGAATAAGCTTTTATGCAACATCACACCATCTGCTGACAGTGTCCTGCCAGGCTGACAGGTGAGATATCAGGATTTAGGACAGAGGAATTAATCACTCCTAATTAATAACTCCATTTATGAATGGTACAGATCTCCAACCTAGACCCTGGGATTTGACCCTCTTTGTGTAGAGAAGAACCAACACGAAACCATCACACTTGTTTTCTTCCATGTTGCAAGGCCACAGGAACATGAAGCACTTTCTGTTCCAGATGAGCACAGGCCACCTCAGTGCTCAGACAGATCCCTTGTCCTGCCAGCAGGTTTCTGGTGTGCCCTGGGGGAGATGAAGACCACACCAGAGACATCTGAGGTCACACGTAACTGAATGCCAAGTCCCTAAATGCTGATGAAGAAGCTTATGCATGGCCTGGCCTTTGGGTTACTAAAGCACAAGTTGTAGGAAACTGAGGCAGCAGCAGCATAGCAGTGACTTTCAGAAATACAATTTTTGACTGGCAAAGTCATATCTAGTTAAGATCCTGTTTTAGATGTCCAAACCCAGTTTTGGCCCTGCCATGAATTCCTATTTAAATCTCACTGGACACAGATGCCAGCTTTCCCCCACAGTGACATTCCCCAGTGCCCCATGCCCTACGAGTATATAGGCTATGCTGCTTCAGACCCAACTGGAGAGTTGAGAATCATCTCTGGAGATAGGCAGATGTTGGTCATTTTTTTTGTAAGCCAAGCACATTCCCAAAGCAGCCATCCAACGCAGGAGCTTCCAAGCCAGACAGGAGCACTTGGACATCAGAGCTTTCCAAGAGGAGCTGAGACAAAGAGGCACCCCTCAGTCACTCCCTGTCCCGTTTACCAGTGTAGTTGTGGGAATTTTGGTCTGCTTCTCTGCCTTTATAGCCTGATATTTTCCTGGCTGGTCGTATGTTGTCCTTCAGAGGTACTGGTGAGGAGAATTACTCTTTTTTCACTCTTTCACTGCTGCAGAAGCTATGTGCCACATCCAGTACCTTTGGCACTTTCGACTCCGATTCTCCCACTTTCTGCTGGCTGCAGTGCTTTGCTGAAGACATGCAATGAGTTAGAAGGGTTAGGGCCAAGTATTGCTATGCATTACTTAATATTTCTGCACCAGGTTTCCATTTGTCCTTTCTGTAACACCCTGGGAAATTTTGGTCGCTTTGTGTGAATACAGGTTGCATTTACCATTTGCAGGAGGTGATCTCTGATCCTTCACCACTGAGAGTGGCTTTACCTGTGTGCTGGGAAGGGACAGCTGTCTGACGCCAAAAGAGAATGAGCATGCACTTGGGCCATAGTGAAAATGGAGTGATGTCTCCCCACAAGCCTGTCGAGGGGCCAGCAGTTTATCCCATATGGCAGAAGCATGATCTTTAACTTGGTTTGTACAGTCTGACAAGAGATGTCTCTGTCTTGTTTTACTAGATTCGCTCGTCGTAGTGGCTGATCGGATTGATGGACCGTACAATGTAGACACTGTAATAGGGACCATTCACATGAGGATCGCTGAAGCTATCTCTAACTTGCAAGAAAACAAAGATTCAATCACAGCCAAGGTAAGAGGGCTGGGCCTGGGCCTGGCTGCGGATACACCATGTGTAACTGCCAGGACAAATGTTTTTTTGTGCTCACTGTTCAACTGAACTAAAGGAGATGAAGGATGAAAGAGATCGAATGTCTATTCTTTTAATGGTAGGAAACCACCCCTCTTACACAGGCAAAAACCTTCACAAGTGTTTCCAAATATTCCTCCGTGCCACACCCTGCCAACCTTCTCCAGGTACAGGCACACACGTTGGGACTGTGTATGCATGACTGTGGGAGGCATGGTGCCATTTGCTGTCAGGTGCCTCTGTGTCTGAAGAGTTGTGAAGTATTTTGGCTGAGCTGAGACACTTACAGAAGGTGCACAGTCCCTAGTGACAGAAGGCAGCTGCTTTAACCTGCCTTAGGGTGATGTTGTGCAGTGGAACCACTGGGCTATCAGGTTGTATCTGTGGGACAGAGCTGCCATCTGGCAGTCCATCTGGAGAGTATAAAACCGGCTCTCCTGATGCTCACCTGCCTTCCAAGAAGTATATCGTGAAGCTCTCTTCTATTGGTCTTCTATTTTTAGTATATTTATCCACTTAACCACAATCACCTCTGTAGCTGCAGGTAAGAGAAGCTTTGGGAACAAAACAACCCTCCAGGGCTCCTGCTTTTTGCCCAGACATTCCCCAAGCCCTGAAACTATCCCACAGTTAGGACAGAGATGCAGATGAAAGGAGCAGGGCAGGTCCTAACTGGTCTTGGAGAAAGGAAGGGCCAGAAGTATTGCTTAGGCAAGCAGAAATTCACCAGCACACATCAAAGCACTAACAGCAGCGTGCATCCAAGTACTTTTTTAGATTTTTTTTTCTGACATGAAAGGCCGTATTCTTTCTTCCCTTGTTAGGAGAGACTGAGATTGTCCACATAAAACCAAGCCCATGATGCAGGAAAACATGGAAAATCATCTGCAAAGGAAGGTGTTTCTAAGGGTCATATAGTAAATCCAGTAAAATGAAAATGAGTCAATAGTCTCTTTGGTGTTCAACTGGAGCGACCAAACCCATTTGATAAGCTTCTCAGTATGATCTGGTGACCAGGTGAATGTGGCAGTCTTTGCTGGTGCCACTGGTAGCAGAGGTCAAGAGCTGCAAATTGCTGCAGGTCTAAGCTCTGGTTTTGAGCATGGCAAAGTGGTCAGGTAAAGGTTATCGTTGCCAGATGAGCTCAGGCCTGGCCAAGGCCCATCCTGGGAGTCTTCTCTTCCAGGGCTGAAGGCCACAGGCCTAGAGCCAGGGCACCGTCTGCCATTTGTGAGAAGAGCTAGAAGTGGCCCTTCAACCCAGTGACACCCTCAGTTATGGGTTCTCCTGGGACCTGGGGGAAGACTGGAAGGAAACACTTTTGGTACTGAGCCCTACGTTCACTGCACCATGGAGCACTCCCCCTGCTTCCTCACGCTCCCCCTCACTCCCTGTGGCTCTCTGGTGGATTTCAGACAGCAGGAGCTATCAAAGGCTGCAAGCGTCTATTTGCTGTCATTATGCAGGAGGCTATTGATCACCTCAGTCTGCAGGACACGTCACCTCTCCATCACTAATGGGCGTTGCTCACCTAAAGCCCTTGGGCTGGCAAGAGGATCACCTTGATATCATGCTGTGCTGCAGCTGCCACAAAGCCACTGTCCTGGAGACCTCCCAGGGCGTTTGCCTCCTGAAAGAGTTGTCTCCTGCTAACAACAGAAGTAGGACAATAAGAAAGTGAAACCAAATGAGTTTTATTTTGGTAGAACCAAGTTCAAAATGCTCTGCATGCAGTTTTCAAGATGGGGCTTTTTGCATAGAGCGAAGGAGACAAATAAACAAATTGTCTTGGTGCTGAACTGCCATAGTCATTGGATCCATGTGGTCAGCATGACAGTGCACCCCAGGATGGGGCTTTCTAGGCTGAATGTCCCGCAGACACACCGATGAGGCCCACTGTCACTGAAGGGACTCTTGTCTAGATTAGAACTTTGCTGATGGCTGTCAGAATCCACTAGCAAAAGCATTCAGCAGCTGGCCTAAGCTACATCAGCAATGCTCCTGTCTGAGGTCTTGATTTCTCTGCTTTAAGGGGACACCGTGCAAAGTCAGATTTATCCATAGCCTCCGACAGCACCCTGGTAACCACAACAGGCTTGGAGCCATCTTTTCAAATCTTAATGGCTTTCTTTGTAAAGGCTGGTGTTACCTGAATCAAACTGACAGTGCAAAGGTTCTCCTGACCTTTGACAGTTTATTAAATCTGGCTGTCTGAGACTCCTTCCACCAGCCAGTGAGGCTCAGTGGCCTGTGCACTGGCTATCTGCAACAGAGGTGTCATTGCCTGGACTGGTAATGCAGAGACTGGGAGGAACAGGTGTTTCCAGGGCACCCTTCTTCTCCTTCTACAGGCAAGATCTGAGAATTTGTACCTTCAAAGTGCTTCTGCTCTCCCTTGGCTACAAAGCACACCTGGGCAGGTAGTTAGGATGATGGGAGGTACCCAAAGTTAGGAGGTAAATCAGTTTGGCCTCTTCATTCACCTCTGAAACATCCAACTTGACAGACTGTGACACATGTATTGTCTTGTCACTCCCCTGGTTGGAGGGGACATTCATTTGCTGGGTGTGGGTGCCGACTGTGAGAGTCATTGGGGTAGTCCCACCTCGGCCTTTTGTCCAAATTGATGAAGCTCACATGCTCTGCAATCTTGAAGCCCGCACTACTGGTGTAATGAGTATGAGCAACTCCCATTTTGTTCTTTCCAGAATTTTATTTTTCAGTCATCATAGGAGCAGATAAAGTTGCTAGAAATAACTTAATAGCAACATTGGTGACTCATCCAAAAACATGTGCTAATTTTGAGTTAGTGTTGAATTGATAGAAGTAACTAAAACCAGTTACAGTGAGCTGAAAACACATCCTGGCACAAGAGTAACCTGACCAGAAACTAAGCCAGAATCTCAGAGATCTTGCAAGTAGAAAGATAAGCATACTTAAGAAGAAAAAAGAAAACATAACTGTGGAGTGCTAATTAATTAAAAAAATAGTATTGAAACATGTGACAGACACTTTGGTTTGTTTTTCAGGTTTTCCAAGGCTGTGGAAATCCCAAAATCAGCACAAAAGGCTCCAGCAGCGAGGACAAGAAAAGGCGGGGGAAGGTTGTGTTGGAAGCAAAATCCTCTGCGCAAGCCCTGGAGATGCTGGTGAGTTTTCCTCCGAATCTGCCTCCCCGCTGGTGTCCCCCAGGCCAGCATGCTGGTGTACTGCCTTCCCTGGGAGCACTGGGAGCACTGGGAGCCTGGCTGGTGCAGCACTGGGTCCTGCGAGTCAGGTCAGACCACCCCACAGGGTGCTGAATTGCCTTTGCTGGCAAGTCTGAAGAAAATCAGATTGACAAGTGCTGGCATGACCTAAGCAGATCTGATCCTGCCTTGGCACAGGGTTGGGGTCTAGGTTGCTGATAATCAGTTTCTCAGGGATCTGGTGCTAAACTTATCTGAAAAGGCTCCTTGCCCTTGGTGTTGTTCAGCCTCAAGCAGTCCAGCCTGGATACGGGGGCCAGATTCTGGATTCTGTGGATGATGAGCTGCGGGATCTGCCGTGGTCCCACATTTCAGAGGCTCCTCACACAAAGACACCTGCCTGTCCCACCCTGGCAGAGCCCTGATGGCTTCCACCAAGGCTGCTTCTCAGCATTGCCCTCATGGCCCAGAAGATGATCTTCTCCTGGTTAACCCTGTGGTACCAGGACAGTCCTTAGCATGTAACCTTCAGCCTCAGGTTCTTGGGTTGACCATTGGTCTTTAGGGGAAGTTTGGTGACACATCCTGTCTGCGTAAAAACAGGCTTTGTGATGGTAAAACATAAAAAAAACATAGGCAGAATCCTTGTCCTTTCCGCAGCCCTGGGGCACCCCAGAGATCTGATGCTGAGTCCTCTTTGTTTACAGGTTTTAGATGCCAAAGGGAATCTGACAGCACTCAAGACTTACTGGATCACTCTGCCTGGCAGCCTGTGCAGCAAAAAAGTAATGGCCAGCTCAGCGGCGGACAACAAGTGTTGGAATGGGATGACCAAGGGCAGGTATGAAGAGGGTCAAGGAGCCAGGATAGCACTGTTCTGGGGTGAGAAAGGGAAGATTTGATAAAAGGCACTTATACATCATCTGAGCCAGCCCCACTGGTTCAGACTGAGCACAGAGTGGAAAGGTCTGTCCCTGTCCACAGAAATGCTGCCTTTCCTGAAACTTTGGTACCTGGGAATGTCAGGCCTGTTGTCCTCTTGCTGTGTGTTGGCAGGTCAAGCACTGAAATGCATTCACCATGAAATAACTGTAGGTTTGTACTAATGAAGCAGTTTTGCAATGCCACCTCCACTCAGAAGGCAGAAGGGCTGGATTTACTTCACAAACTCCGGAGTGTTGCTGGGAATTGCATACACATCTCTCTATCCATACCTGCTCTGAAATGCTGTTTCTTCATGAGAGGAGGCACCCGGGTGACATCAAACAGCTGCAGAAACACCTCCCACCCATGGGTGACAGTTAAAGGAGGGCTGTGAGGGAAGATGGGCAGCTGCTGGACATGCACCTTTCCCTGCTCCTCTCCATGGGCCTGCTGGGCTGGTCTCTGCCAGCCTGGAGCCAGTGCCTTGGGTTCTTCTGTATTTCACACGGTTGCCAGCAGTGCTACAGATCTGCAGGATCAGAGGGGCCAGGGCCCTGCCGAGGGGAGCAGTACAGCTCTGTTTGAGGGTTGACAGCTCCCAGTTAAAATAAGCTTCCCTGGGGGTCCTGTCTGGTCACACCAGGCTGGAGACACTCAGTCATCTCAGGATGTCAGTCCCCACAGAGTTTAACCAGGGCAGGGATGAAGGTGCTCCTCAGCCCCCTATATGGACAGAGCTTTTCCATAGGGGGGTATCACCATGGCTCCACAGGTACCAGCCCTAGAGCAACCCCTGAGCACCACACACAGCCTTTCTTGCAGGAAACCCCTCCCCATGCCAGGACAGTGATGCTGCAAGGCCTCCAGCCACCTCCTGCAGGCTGAGTGGCCTCAGGGCAAGCCCCAGGCTCTGAGGGGGTCTGGCCACAGCAGCACAGCTCAGCCATCTGTAGAGCTGGCTGCCTCACAGCAAACTCCAGAATATGGAGGCTGTGGGACAAGCCAGCACCACTGACTGCAGCTTCTCTGGGATTCAAAGAGTCTGTATTATCATTGGTGTCTGTAAGGGGGAAAGGTGAGTTTAACAGGGCGGAGACATCTAAACCTGTTGCCTTCCTTCACAGTTACCTGCCCGAAGTGATGGGGGATGGCTTGGCTAATCAAATTAACAACCCGGAGGTGGAAGTGGACATCACCAAGCCTGATATGACCATTCGCCAGCAAATCATGCAGCTAAAGATCATGACAAATCGACTGGGCAATGCTAACATCGGGAACGATGTGGATTTCCAAGATGCAAGTGAGTTTAGCAGAACCAGAGAACTCCACAGCAGGCGAGAGGGGCTGAGCAGCCAGCCCTGGCAGCCTGCAGGGCCCCCACACAGACCCTGCAGCCAGGCCCCGAGGGCAGAGAGGGATTGTGGCCACCTGGCTTTTGGCTCGGGGCTGCAGAGGGTCTGTTGGAGTGCAGCTGACTTGCTGCAGCATGGCTGGAGGCTGTGCTGCTCTCCGTGCCTCGCTGAAACCTCCGGCCCACCCAGCTGAAGGGGCCACTGCTCCTGTCTGCTCCAGAGCTTTCCCGCTGCTGCAGCAGCGGGTGCTTAAAGGCAGCTGGAGATCAGGTACGGGCTTGCACCCCACACTGAGGGATGCTGAGAGAAGGAGGGGGCTGGGGCAGGGCTGGTGGCCAGAGCTCCCTGGGTCTGCAGCAAGGGGAAGGCAGTCAGGGCTCACCCCATGTTTGTCTCTGTGCAGGTGACGACATGAGTGGCTCCGGGAGTGGTGACAGCTGTCCTGATGACGTCTGTGGCAAAAGACTCTCTAAGAGCCCCAGCACCAGGCAGCCAGAAACACACGCTATTCCTAAGCAGTCTGGACATGGCATCAATGGGGCCAGCAGCAGATCTTTGCCTTCTGCCTTCCTCCTCCTCCTTTCGGTGGCTTTCATTGCCGCGCAGCACTTGTGGCGGTAACTCACTATGACAGCCAGGAAAGAGACTGCGGCCGAGGGCTTCACTTTGCCAAAACCAACCAACCAACCAACCAAAGGACATATTTAATTCACCTTGGCAAAAAAAAAAAAAAAAAAAAAAAAAAAAGGAGAGAAAGGTTTCAGTTGTTTGCTATTTCTGGCAGTGCTCGAGCTGTTTTCTTCTTTCTTGGTCTTTTCCCCAATGCTGGGCCCTTCTTTCTGTACCTCATTGTTTTACTTTTGTTATTGCCACAAACTGGCTGTCGGGGCTGAAAGAAACCTTTGCAGAGAGGTCTCTGGGGGGATCCCAGCTGGCCCCTCCGAGGGCAGCTCTTCCGCTGCCTCCAGTGGAACACGCAATTGCCCTGACCTTGTTACCCAGCTGCCGGCCAGGGCGCCGCTTACCACAGCTGCCGAGAGCAACGCCACTTCCTAACGCGGAGAGACCGAGATCGTCAGCGCTCCTCAAGTGCTGCATTCAGGGGCTCTTTCAGGTTTTTCCTCTGTACTTCCTAGGCAGGCAGAGATGGCCCTTCACTTCTAGCAGCGTGTGTAGGAGTGTGAGCAGGTTTGGTGGGTTGAACTGAAACAGTTTGGCAGTGGCTGTTGGACCCAAAACCGCAGAACTCCCTTTTTCTTTGGAAAGGTCACAAGTGGGTTTCTTGACTAGAGCTCATAGCTGACAACAATTTGTAATGTAGGTCTCCTACATCTAAGTGACTGGGAATGAGTGTTAGGGGTTGGGGTTTGGGGTATTTTTTCTTTGCATGCTAGTTGGAAAGCCATTTTTTACCCAAGTAATGATGGTCCAATTTCTACCTGCAGTGCAGTACCGTTGTAGGTAACAGAGAGATGAAAATATGCACAGTGGGATTCTTCGCTTGACAGACAGTTGTGCTGACACCTCCTCCTCCTCTGGCCTCAGCTGTGGATAGGTATCCTTTTTTTTTTTTGTAATAAGACACACCAGGGACTTTTTTACTAACGGGAGCATTGCAACTGGTTGTGAGAGCTCACACCAGGCACGTGCAAGAGTGACACCCCAGGTAGCTGCCCGGGGGCAGAAAGGGGCTGGGTAGCGATGAGCCTGGGCAGTGTCTCACTCAAGGTAGCACCTACCAGGTGGGATGTGAGGATGGGACACGTTTTTGTCTGGGAGTTTTCTTTTGGTGTTCGTTCTTGTTCCATTGTAGGTTTCTAAGTGAATTCCCACTTTCCCTGTCCCTTCCCCATGCTCCCACACACCTTCCCTAACTGCTGCAGGGTCAGAGTGTGATGGTGGGTCAGACACCTGCTGGCAGCTCCGGTTTGGCTCAGGGAAGGGCCCCACTCACCCTCTGCCGCCCCATCCCACCACACACCAGCCTCTGGGTCAGGTGGGCGGCTGCCCTAACCCCGAAATGCTTGGTGGGGTGGACTCTGTGCTGGGTTTTGAGACTGGGGGTGGTCAGTGAAAGATATAATTATCCTCACGTAGCTGTAGAAGTGTCTGTGCTTGTAGGGCTGTGTGCTTCAGGGCTTCCAGAAGGCTTCTGTACCTGGTGGGTACAGCAAGCATCGGCTGGAGATGTAGGTTTAGCAGATGTTATAGATACCACACAGTCACTGTGACTGGTTGGGCCAAGAGCATGCCCAGGGGTTGGGCTTCATTCGTACGGGGTTGGGTTTGAGTTTCAAATGTGTTTGTACTGTGGGTGAGAGGGAGGGCAGAGGTGTATCTATCTCCTACTTTACTGGTCTGCACAGCAAATGTTTGAGCATTTCTCCTCTGTCCTGCCAGAGGAGACGTGTCTTTGGGCTGAGCAAACATGGGGTTGGGGTTTGGCTGTTTTCTAAGAGAGGGGGAAAAAATAATTTTTAACATTAGCAGTTTCTAGAATGTGCAATTTAAGAGAAGACGAGAACATGAGCAAGGTAACGCCAAAAGCTGGTGCAGGCAGGTGCGGAGAGAGCGTTACCTGGGGGCCAGGTAACAATGCTGACAGTGCCTCGAACTAGGCAGAGGTTTTAGGCCAGCTATGACTGGCTTCTCCAAGTTACAGTGACTGATGTTACTGACTTGGTGCCCCTTCTGCCCTGTACTCTCTTTCTTGTAAGGTTAAAATTGATCTATTCTGATAGGGTTCCAGAAATGAAAGCCAGGGTGCTGGGCGTTGGCTAAAGGACAGACGGACACCAGATCCATCAGAACCCATGAGTGGGTAAATGCAAGTCATGAATTTATACTGATTTATTTACTTCTAGAAATATGGCAAGTTCCATGTTACTTTTACTGCTCTAAAGAGTTCCTTTCTTTTTTTTTTTTTCTTTTTTTTTAACCAGAACTGCCAACACAAATTTAGCCTTCAGTTACAGAAATCCCCCCAACCAGTCCTGCAGAAACTTTACATCCAAAGCAAAAAAAAAAAAAAAAAAAAGGAAGGAGGGGGGGACGGATTAAAACATTGTAACCTCTTCAAAAAATGGTTGGGTTGGGTTGGAGTTCTAACACATGGATGCCAAGGTCAATGTTTTGCTTTGCAGAATGGGAGGTTGAAAGTCCCTGTCATTTCCATTTCTGTGCCATTAGCGTTTGCTGTCAGCCTGTTACCCTCAAAAGCTTCTTATGGGCCCCAAGGGGAACACACCTCAAATGTAAAGCCAAGAATTTACTGATTGTCTAGTTAATATTTTAACAATTTAATAGCCCAAATTACTGGTCCTGTTACAATAATAAAACCTGATAGTCCAAATTAATAAGACAAAGCCTCAAGGATACAGTCAAAACTATGCAGGAGAAACCCTTTCCTGATGGCTTCCCCCTTTGGCTGGGGTTGAGCTCCCACTTCAGTGTCCCTCTGGGCCCCGAGGGTGACCGCTTCAGTCCTGGAGCTGAGCTGAGCTGAGGGTGGGACCCACGTCGGCACCCTGAGGTCTGCGCGGGCGGGCGAGGGCAGTGCCGGGGGCTCCCCCTCTTCGCCAGGAGGTGCATGATGTTGGTGTTGATGCTTCCTCCCTCCTTGGCCCTGGGTCCGCTTGGGTTTATTTTGTATACCTTTTCACACGGTCCACCTACGCTGCTGCTTTTTGCCAGTTCCTGGTTATTCAGTTTTTCTGTTCTCTTCATTGCTCTGAAGCGGTTTCCCCAATGTGCTGCAATTTGGTGTCCTGGGGCTGCGCTTGGCCACGCCACCTTCTACTGAGGAGCTGAAACGGCCGAGTCCCCCCCAGGGTATCGACTCGGTATTGCTCTAAACTAAAGCAAACCTAAAGCAAACCATAGTTACCGGACAGCTAGACAACTGCTGGCACAGCTCAACAAGCTGAAGTCAGCCCAGGTCCAGACAAGCCCTGAGCCTGTGCTCGGGCTGGTGCAGAGCCTGGGGCCTTTCAGTGCTTATAAATGACATTTCCTGGGCTACTGCCTGCTCGAAGATGTTGTGAGAAACCTCCCCATCCCCATGGCAGTGGCAGGCTCAGGGCTGCAGCCACGGTGGGGACTGGCAGCTGCCGTAGGTTGGTTGCGTGAGCTGTGGGGAACAGGGATAGCTGGGGAGGAACATTTGCTTCAATGTTATCGAGGTGGTGATTCGTGGTGTCCTGGTTTGAAAAGGCCTTGTACTTCACAGGGATGCAGAGTGGGTAGTGGTCTGGGAAAAAATATTAACAAGGACCCCTGTCCCTGGAAAGAGGAGAACCAGAAATAGTGGATTTCCAAGTGTCTCTGTCTTTCAGCCTGCTCTTTTGTGCCATAATGTGTATGTTTTAACTAAGGGCGAGGGTCTCAAAAGGCTTTGAGAGCGCAGCTACTTATCATTTACAAATGACAAACTGCCTGTTGTTTTCCGGTGGGCTTGGTAGGGGCTAGGGTATAGCAAAATATCTAAAGTCCACCTTTGCTTTAAACAGATGCATTTCTATCTGCAGGAGTAAGAATTATTTCACTTATTGGCATAGCTGGACAGTTATCTATTTCTTTCTGTTACCAAGGTACTTGTAACTCTCTTGCACTGTTTATCTAAAGTTGAAATATGTTCTTTGAATCCTTGTATAAATAAAAAGGCTGGAGACTTAAATCTGTATTTACAGGGCAGTTTATTTCTTCTCCATTTAAGCTGAGTTTGGAGTTTTCTTTCCTTTTCCTTGTTAAGACACAGATAAAGGCCAGGTCAGGAGTCCTGAGGAGAGAAAGCTTGCTTTCAGCCACAGGGTTTGTAATGGGCTGATGCCAGTGTTGGCATTACGGATTTGCCTGCATTCAACCCTGCGTGATCTGGAGGAACAGCTGCCAGGGTTGTATGGATGTCGTGTGTGGAAACAAGGTGAAGCTGACTTCAGTCATCAAAACAAGTATGCTAAAAATTGGCTTTCTCATACAGATGCACAAAAACTCATGGCGTATAGTGCAAGGAATCAGAAATACCCTTGGTATTTGTCATTACAGAGTGTTGTGCTAATTATTTAATATGGCCTTGTAGAAGTGCAACTGTTGGTAGGGTTACCAGCAAGTGAAGCAGATGCCTGGGCCCTCACAGTGACATGGATGTTTGATCTCAAGCGTGTGCCTGTGACTGAACTGACACAGCAGAAAGGGTTGTGCTTCAGCTCTGCACTGTCCAGTTCCAGAAGTGGGTGAATGCAGGAGTCAAGGTAATGCATCGAAAGCCGCTCATGAAGTGTCTGAGAGAGACTGGAAACTACTAAAAGTGTATCTGTCTGCCTGGAAGCAAATATCGCTTAAATTTAATAAAATGAGTGATACCCTTGAATGAATAGGTATTTCTTTGGTTTCGTGTCCTGCAGTTACAGCTATTTAGGCACCACATGCACGAATGTATATGGATACAGCCAAGTGCAGAAACATTGGTCTTCTCCTAGGCGAAGCTGTTTTCAGACCAGTCACCTCCTTTGCCTCCTCTGTGTCTAATTATGATCTTAAATAATGGCCACTTAAAGTTGTGTGTGTATTGAAGCTCTTTGCAAACATTTCTGTTGGTTTGTAAAGCCACTGAACACCATACTGGACTGAGGCATCAGACCTTTTCTGGGCAGGGATGGGACTATTACCCTGCAGTCTGACCATCTTCTTGCAGAGGAGGCAACTGTCTTCCCTGCCAGGAGATGGCATTTGCGTTTAGTTTATAATTACTCTCCCTGTAATGGTATCTGCCCTGTTTCTATTTCCTCCTCTGCTCGGAAACAGGATACAGGGCAGGCTGGTGGTAAGGGACAACCTTTCAAACACGAAGGACCTTTCTCAAGTCAACTGCAGGCAGGTAGGTCACAGACGTCCGTAGGCTGGTAGTGAGGCCCCTCAGGTGCAGAAGAAGAGTTCATGCCAGATCAGGAGCAATGCCAGGCAAAGTAACAATTATGGTTTTAGTAACAACAGCAGCCGTGATAGGAGATCTCAGCACGGTGGGGACTTCTCACAGGGAGGAGAGTTCTTGCTGTTGGCCTTATTCTTTTACCAGGATAATCTCTCTAAACAGATTTTGGGCCACACTAAAGCCAAGTATGATGTACAGAAGCAAATAGCAGGTGCTCAGGAAGAAAAACTAGACAATGAAATACTTTTTTCTAAGAGTGAGACATGATATTGCACAGCAGAAACACATCTAAGGAAATGACATGGGTCCTTGTGCATCGTTCACAGAGGAGGGCGAGGGGCAGAGGGGCTGCACGGAGCTTTCAGCTCACCCCTGACTTGGTGTCCCCTGGAATGGCAGCCTCCCCACCCTGCCCAGGCACACACCAGCACCCAGCTGCCACCGCTGGCACCCAGGGCAAGGGAGGGGGACCTGGGCAGAGGGTGCTTGGGCAGTGGGGAACCAGAGGTGCCAGGGGTGCGGGGAAAGGGAGGAAGAGGCTCCCTCGGCCCCCAAAACCACTGGGTGCAGCCCAGCTGAGAGCAGCTGTGAAGGCAGCAACCAGGTTCCACATGCCAGTAGCTCAGACGCTGGGAGATGGGGAGTTGCTTATCACAGAATCATTGAGGTTGGAAAATACCTTGAAGATCATCTAGTTCAACCATTAGCTCAACATCAACAGTTCTCAACTCCACCAGATCCCTCAGTGCTATGTTGACCCAACTCTTAAACCCCTCCAGGGATGGGGACTCCACCACCTCCCTGGGCAGCCCATTCCAACACCCAACAACCCCTTCTGGAAAGAAATGCTTCCTAATATCCAGTCTAAACCTTCCCTGGCACAACTTGAGGCCATCCCCTCTTGTCCTATCACTTATTACTTGATTAAAGAGGCTCATCCCCCCTCTCTTCAACCTCCTTTCAGGGAGCTGTAGAGGGTGATGAAGTCTCCCCTCAGCCTCCTCCAGACTAAACCCCAGCTCCGTTGCCCTTCTCTGGACACGCTCGAGTCATTCAATGTCCTTTTTGTAGTGAGGGGCCCAACACTGAACACAGTAAGCAAGGTGCGGCCTCACCAGCGCCAAGTACAGGGGCGAGATCCCTTCCCTGTCCCTGCTGGCCACGCTATTGCTGACACAAGCCAGGATGCCATTGGCCTTCTTGGCCCCCTGGGCACGCTGCTGGCTCATATTCAGCCGGCTGTCAATCAACACCCCCAGGTCCCTCTCTGACTGGCAGCTCTCCAGCCACTCCTCCCCAAGCCTGTAGCGCTGCTGGGGGTTGTTGTGGCCCAAGGGCACCCCCGGCATTTGGCCCTATTGAAGCTCACGCAGTTGGGCTCAGCCCATGGCTCCAGCCTGCCCAGGTCTCTCTGCAGAGCCTCCCTACCCTCGAGCACATCAACACTCCCGCCCAACTGGGTGTCATCTGCAAACTGACTGAGGGTGCACTCGATCCCCTCGTCCAGATCATCAATAAAGATGTTAAACAGGAGTGGCCCCAACACCCAGCCCTGGGGGACACCACTCGTGACCGGCCGCCAGCTGGATTTAACTCCATTCATCACAACTCTTCAGGCCCGGCCGTCCAGCCAGTTTTTTACCCAGCAAAACGTGTGCCCAGCCTCGAGCAGCCAGTTTCACCAGGAGAATGCTGTGGGAAATGGTGTCAAAAGCCTTGCTGAAGTCAAGGTAAATTACATCCACAGCCTTTCCCTCATCCAATAAGCAGGTCACTCTGTCATAGAAGGAGATCAGGTTTGTCAGGCAGGACCTGCCTTTCATAAACCCATGCTGACTGGGCCTGAGCATCTGGTTGTCCCTCATGTGTTGTGTGATGGTACTCAGAACGAGCTGCTCCATCAGCTTCCCGGGCACCGAAGTCAAGCTGACAGGCCTGTAATTTCCCAGATCATCCTTCTGACCCTTCTTGTATATGGGTGTCACACTGGCCAATTTCCAATCAGTCGGGACCTCCCTGGTCAGCCAGGACTGCTGGTAAATGATGGAAAGCAGCTTGGTGAGCACACACTCATGCGTAAGATATGCTCTGCCCTGGCACCACACCAGCAATTTTACTGAAGTCCGGAAAGATTAGCACTACTATATCTACCTAGCCTAGTAAATCATTTTCTGGTTACTCAAAAGACACTTTTGTTGTAGGTGAGGGGAAGTAGCTGAGCTGGCGGTGAGCTGGGGTGATCAGATCACTAATCTTTGTGCCAGTATCGCATCAGGGCTGACCCCAGCAGCAGCCTTCCCGTGAGGGAGACGGCGGTTTTAACTTCTTGTGAGAAGCTGCTCCAGGGATAGGGACCGTACAAATCCAACTGCTTTACAGTCCGTGTTTTCAGCTTTTTACATGCAGTGCTCAGAATCCCGCAGGCACTAGGACCTGCCTGGAGCCCTCCCGCCCAGGACCGTAGGGCGGGATAAACACAGCCCCGCGGGGGCGCGGGCAGCCCGCCCGCAGGCAGCGCACGGCC